TGCTCTAGGTTACATCAACCGTTAATGCTCTTGACTACATCAACCGTTGATGTTCTAGGATACATCAACCGTTGATGCTCTAGGCTACATCAACCGTTGATGCTCTAGACTACATCAACCGTTGATCTCTAGACTACATCAACCGTTGATGCTCTAGACTACATCAACCGTTGATCTCTAGACTACATCAACCGTTGATGCTCTAGACTACATCAACCGTTGATGCTCTAGACTACATCAACCGTTGATGCTCTAGACTACATCAACCGTTGATGCTCTAGACTACATCAACCGTTGATGCTCTAGACTACATCAACCGTTGATGCTCTAGACTACATCAACCGTTGATGCTCTAGACTACATCAACCGTTGATCTCTAGGCTACATCAACCGTTGATGCTCTAGACTACATCAACCGTTGATGCTCTAGACTACATCAACCGTTGATCTCTAGGCTACATCAACCGTTGATCTCTAGACTACATCAACCGTTGATGCTCTAGGCTACATCAACCGTTGATCTCTAGGCTACATCAACCGTTGATGCTCTAGGCTACATCAACCGTTGATGCTCTAGACTACATCAACCGTTGATGCTCTAGGCTACATCAACCGTTGATGCTCTAGGCTACATCAACCGTTGATGCTCTAGACTACATAAATCGTTGATGCTCTAGGCTACATCAACCGTTGATGCTCTAGACTACATCAACCGTTGATGCTCTAGGCTACATCAACCGTTGATGCTCTAGACTACATCAACCGTTGATCTCTAGGCTACATCAACCGTTGATGCTCTAGGCTACATCAACCGTTGATGCTCTAGACTACATCAACCGTTGATGCTCTAGACTACATCAACCGTTGATGCTCTAGGCTACATCAACCGTTGATCTCTAGGCTACATCAACCGTTGATGCTCTAGGCTACATCAACCGTTGATGCTCTAGGTTACATCAACCGTTAATGCTCTTGACTACATCAACCGTTGATGTTCTAGGATACATCAACCGTTGATGCTCTAGGCTACATCAACCGTTGATCTCTAGGCTACATTAACCGTTGATGCTCTAGGCTACATCAACCGTTGATGCTCTAGACTACATCTACCGTTGATGCTCTAGGCTATATCAGCCGTTGATCTCTAGGCTACATCAACCGTTGATGCTCTAGGCTACATCAACCGTTCATCTCTAGGCTACATCAACCCTTGATGCTCTAGGCTACATCAACCGTTGATGCTCTAGGCTACATCAACCGTTGATGCTCTAGGCTACATCAACCCTTGATGCTCTAGGCTACATCAACCGTTGATGCTCTAGGCTACATCAACCGTTGATGCTCTAGGCTACATCAACCGTTGATGCTCTAGACTACATCAAACGTTGATGCTCTAGGCTACATCAACCGTTGATGCTCTAGGCTACATCAACCGTTGATGCTCTAGACTACATCAACCGTTGATGCTCTAGACTACATCAACCGTTGATGCTCTAGGTTACATCAACCGTTGATGCTCCAGGCTACATCAACCGTTGATGCTCTAGGCTACATCAACCGTTGATGCTCTAGGCTACATCAACCGTTGATGCTCCAAGCTACATCAACCGTTGATGCTCTAGGCTACATCAACCGTTGATGCTCTAGACTACATCAACCGTTGATGCTCTATTCTACATCAACCGTTGATGCTCTAGACTACATCAACCGTTGATGCTCTAGACTACATCAACCGTTGATGCTCTAGACTACATCAACCGTTGATGCTCTAGACTAAATCAACCGTTGATGCTCTAGACTACATCAACCGTTGATGCTCTAGACTACATCAACCGTTGATGCTCTAGGTGAGAAGTGTGGTTATCACTCCATAAACGGCTATAGAGCCCTGAGTCTACTTATGTTTTAATCTAGACTCTAGAGTTATCAGAGGCTGGTATATGATAGCTATGTGATAGCAACACATATGCTATCACATAGCTAACCTCGTTGCTATGTGATAGCATAAAGCCACCCTGCAACACATAGGCCTAGTAAACTACCCCTTGACAGCATAGGCGTAGATTATCCTTTGCCAGCATAGGCCTAGACTACCTATTGGCAACATAGAACCAAAGGAGAGAACCGTAGATTCTGCTTTGAAAACGTAGGTTTAGAGTCCAAACTTCACAATAAATATCTAGACTACACCTTGACAGCATAGGCCTACACACCTTGACAGCATAGGCCTACACACCTTGACAGCATAATCCAACAGAGCATGAGGAAGGTAATGTTTCTGAGTAAAACTTCCAAATACGGCTTTATACTTTATTTATTTATATAAAATAATTTCATATCATGCAGTGTCAAGTTAAGCTTAATATCCTAAGAAACTTTGGCGAAGAATTATTCTGAATCAGCCTTAAGCTGCTGACATTATATATATATATATATATATATATATATATATATATATATATATATATATATATATATATATATATATATATATATATATATATATATATATATATATATATATATATATATATATATATATATATATATATATATATATATATATATATATATATATATATAAACCTTAAATTAACAACAAATAGAAGAACATTACAAAATTTGCTGCCGTAAACATATAGTTATATACAGTGGACTGTAAAGGCGTCGAGCCAAGCCCAGGGCGTCACAGTAAGCCCTGGGCGTCACAGTAAGCCTAGGGCGTTACAGTAAGCCCATGGCGTCACAGTAAGCCCAGGGCGTCACAGTAAGCCCATGGCGTCACAGTAAGCCCAGGGCGTCACAGTAAGCCCAGGGCGTCACAGTAAGCCCAGGGCGTCACAGTAAGCCCAGGGCGTCACAGTAAACCCAGGACGCAGTAAGCCCAGGGCGTCACAGTAAGCCTTGGGCGTCACAGTAAGCCCAAAGCGTCACAGTAAGCCCAGGGCGTCACAGTAAGCCTAGGGCGTCACAGTAAGCCCAAAGCGTCACAGTAAGCCTAGGGCGTCACAGTAAGCCCAGGGCGTCATAGTAAGCCCAGGGCGTCATAGTAAGCCCAGGGCGTCACAGTAAACCCAGGGCGTTACAGTAAGCCCAGGGCGTCACAATAAGCCCAGGACGTCAGAGTAAGCCCAGGACGTTACAGTAAACCCAGGGCGTCACAGTAAACCCAGGGCGTCACAGTAAACCCAGGGCGTCACAGTGAACCCAGGGCGTCACAGTAAGCCCCGGACGACACAGTAAACCCAGGACGTCACAGTAAACCCAGGACGTCACAGTAAGCCCAGGGCGTCACAGTAAGCCCAGGGCGTCACAGTAAGCCCAGGGCGTCACAGTAAGCCCAGGGCATCACAGTAAGCCCAGGGCGTCACAGTAAGCCCAGGGCGTCACAATAAACCCAGGGCGTCACAATAAACCCAGGGCGTCACAGTAAACCCAGGGCGTCACAATAAACCCAGGGCGTCACAGTAAACCCAGGGCGTCACAGTAAACCCAGAGCGTCACAGTAAGCCCAGGGCGTCACAGTAAGCCCAGGGCGTCACAGTAAGCCCAGGGCGTCACAGTAAGCCCAGGGCGTCACAGTAAACCCAGAGCGTCACAGTAAGCCCAAGGCATCACAGTAAGCCCAGGGCGTCACAGTAAGCCCAGGGCGTCATAGTAAGCCCAGGGCGTTACAGTAAGCCCAGGACGTCACAGAAAACCCAAAGCGTCACAGTAAACCCAGTGCGTCACAGCAACGGGCGTCACCGTAAACCCAGGGCGTCACAGTAAACCCAGGACGTCACAGTAAGCCCAGGGCGTCACAGTAAACCCAGAGCATCGAAGCAAGCCACACACAAGGTGTAGATCCTCTCTTTATCTGCCTCCCGAAGAATCATGGACAAGATCGAGAACCATTCCTGGAGACACCAGTCCACTTGTGGCCTGGTCGACACTCCGGGAGACACCAGTCCACTTGTGGCCTGGTCGACACTCCGGGAGACACCAGTCCACTTGTGGCCTGGTCGACACTCCGGGAGACACCAGTCCACTTGTGGCCTGGTCGACACTCCGGGAGACACCAGTCCACTTGTGGCCTGGTCGACACTCCGGGAGACACCAGTCCACTTGTGGCCTGGTCGACACTCCGGGAGACACCAGTCCACTTGTGGCCTGGTCGACACTCCGGGAGACACCAGTCCACTTGTGGCCTGGTCGACACTCCGGGAGACACCAGTCCACTTGTGGCCTGGTCGACACTCCGGGAGACACCAGTCCACTTGTGGCCTGGTCGACACTCCGGGAGACACCAGTCCACTTGTGGCCTGGTCGACACTCCGGGAGACACCAGTCCACTTGTGGCCTGGTCGACACTCCGGGAGACACCAGTCCACTTGTGGCCTGGTCGACACTCCGGGAGACACCAGTCCACTTGTGGCCTGGTCGACACTCCGGGAGACACCAGTCCACTTGTGGCCTGGTCGACACTCCGGGAGACACCAGTCCACTTGTGGCCTGGTCGACACTCCGGGAGACACCAGTCCACTTGTGGCCTGGTCGACACTCCGGGAGACACCAGTCCACTTGTGGCCTGGTCGACACTCCGGGAGACACCAGTCCACTTGTGGCCTGGTCGACACTCCGGGAGACACCAGTCCACTTGTGGCCTGGTCGACACTCCGGGAGACACCAGTCCACTTGTGGCCTGGTCGACACTCCGGGAGACACCAGTCCACTTGTGGCCTGGTCGACACTCCGGGAGACACCAGTCCACTTGTGGCCTGGTCGACACTCCGGGAGACACCAGTCCACTTGTGGCCTGGTCGACACTCCGGGAGACACCAGTCCACTTGTGGCCTGGTCGACACTCCGGGAGACACCAGTCCACTTGTGTCCTGGTCGACACTCCGGGAGACACCAGTCCACTTGTGGCCTGGTCGACACTCCGGGAGACACCAGTCCACTTGTGGCCTGGTCGACACTCCACACACTGACACCAACACTCGCTGTCTCGGGGCAGAACTATAAAGTGAATCACTGTTCCGTTAGAGTTTTTTCCGTGGGACACCGGTCTGTGGATTGACACCAATTGTTCAGGAGGTCCGGGAATATCAGGAAGCTTTCAGGGCCTTCTGGGGGTTATGTTTCTCAGCGTTTCTGGCGAGAAAGTGGATTTGTTTCTATATGGTGGCGAGGATGGAGATGAGGAGGATGGTGGGGAGAGTGGAGACACGTCTCGCCCCGCTGGTGGAGTGGAGGACCGCCATGGCTGTGGAAGTGGGAAGAAGAAGAGATCAGGTGGGGCTAGGGAGTAGGTACACTCACTCGCACTTCACACTTACACTCACACATAAGCACTCACTCACACATATACACTCACTCACTCATACAGCGCTCGGGATTCTTAGTCCTAGGGATGCGGGGATCGATCCTCGGGGAAGGCGGAAACAAATGGGCAGTTTCTTTCACCCTGATTGCATCTGTTCATCTAGCAGTAAATAGGTACCTGGGAGTTAGACAGCTGCTACGGGCTGCTTCCTGTGTGTGTGTGTGTGTGTGTGTGTGTGTGTGTGTGTGTGTGTGTGTGTGTGTGTGTGTGTGTGTGTGTGTGTGTGTGTGTGTGTGTGTGTGTACTCACCTAGTTGTGCTTGCGGGGGTTGAGCTCTGGCTCTTTGGTTCCGCCTCTCAACCGTCAAAGTGTGTGTGTATGTGTGTGTGTGTGTGTGTGTGTGTGTGTGTGTGTGTGTGTGTGTGTGTACACACACACACCAGACGAGCTTACCAGATACCAGACGAGCCTACCAGACGAGCTTACCAGATGTGTGTGTGTGTGTGTGTGTGTGTGTGTGTGTGTGTGTGTGTGTACACACACACACCAGACGAGCACACCAGATGTGCTTACCAGACGAGCACATCTGTATCTGTTCCGTGTATTTATTTCTATATAAATGTGTGTTTCTGATGTTATTGAGAATAATAAATATGAGTTCGTTTGCCGAGTTCTCGATATTTTAACAAAGTTGTTTTTGAAATTGTCACTTAACTTTAAAACTTTTAACATTTTTGGTCACGAATAATTTTCTGTGTGTGTGTGTGTGTGTGTGTGTGTGTGTGTGTGTGTGTGTGTGTGTGTGTGTGTGTGTGTGTGTGTGTGTGTGTGTGTGTGTGTGTGTGTGTGTGTGTGTGTGTGTGTGTGTGTGTGTGTGTGTGTGTGTGTGTGTGTGTGTGTGTGTGTGTGTGTGTGTGTGTGTGTGTGTGTGTGTGTGTGTGTGTGTGTGTGTGTGTGTGTGTGTGTGTGTGTGTGTGTGTGTGTGTGTGTGTGTGTGTGTGTGTGTGTGTGTGTGTGTGTGTGTGCGTGTGTGTGTGGAAACAAAAAAATCTGTTGATTGACTGGTTGAGAGGCGGGCCCAAAGAGCTAGAGCTCAACCCCCGCAAGCACAACTAGATGAGTACACACGCACCGTGATCAACACTAGGGGGGGGGGGAGCAGTCCCACTGGCCTGTTATGACCCAATGTATATAAAAATTCCTTCAATATACACTGCGCCCTAACTTACAAGATATAAATTATATATTCGTTGTCACTAGTATATACATTTATACATATATGTCCATACCATGTATTTCCTTCCCATAAAAACCTGACATAAGTAGATGTTTATTATATACATTGCTACCTTTAATTTTTAAACCGTATAATTTTCTGACAACATAAATAATTCTCACATGTTATATTTTATATGCCGATGTGTCAAGTACCTAATTGCCTCGTTAACTAGTGTGTGCGTCGTATGTGTCCAGCGTGTGTTGCGTGTGTCCAGCGTGTGTTGCGTGTGTCCAGCGTGTGTTGCGTGTGTCCAGCGTGTGTTGCGTGTGTTGCGTGTGTCCAGCGTGTGTTGCGTGTGTCCAGCGTGTGTTGCGTGTGTCCAGCGTGTGTTGCGTGTGTTGCGTGTGTCCAGCGTGTGTTGCGTGTGTCATACCAGCGCTGTAAAATCTTTCCCAGGAAATTCAAGGTTTAGAAATTGTTACAGTAGTATATAATATTATTTTACCAGACGAGCACTTCTGTATCTGTTCCGTGTATTTATTTCTATATAAATGTGTGTTTCTGATGTTATTGAGAATAATAAATATGAGTTCGTTTGCCGAGTTCTCGATATTTTAACAAAGTTGTTTTTGAAATTGTCACTTAACTTTAAAACTTTTAACATTTTTGGTCACGTTCACATTGATTAATGTTTAATACCAATTTACCTTTGAAGCCTCTTGCTGACGTCTACTGTACCAATGTTTACTAAGTTCACGTACCTTGTACATCATGTGAATATATTATATTTCTTGTGTTGCACAGGTGGGGAAGTCACCCAGTAATGTGATAGTTGTTTACTCTAGATTTGGTTGGACTTAGGCCCATTTGTTCTTACATATTTAAGGCCAAATGCGATTAGTATTGAGAGTGGGGAGTCTATCACTATGAGCATTGATGGGGCCATAGTTCCTGGGGTCCTGTTACTGTTTATGTGCCCGGGTTCGATTCCCCGGCCCTGTTATAATGTTCATGTTTATCTAGTAGTAAATAGGTACCTGGGAGTTAGACAGCAGCTACGGGTTGCTTCCTGGGTGTGTGTGTGTGTGTGTGTTTGTGTGTGTGTGTGTGTGTGTGTGTGTGTGTGTGTGTGTGTGTGTGTGTGTGTGTGTGTGTGTGTGTGTGTGTGTGTGTGTGTGTGTGTGTGTGTGTGTGTGTGTATGTGTGTGTGTGTGTGTGAAATATATGTTGTAAAAATGATAGATGAAAATAGGTTGGGAGTCGGATAACCGACGGTTAGAAACGAGGGATCCAAGAGCTAACAGCTCATTCCTGCAGGCACAAAGAGTAAAAATACACACACACACACACACACACACACACACACACACACACACACACACCGGATGAAAACTCACCTTGGATACTAAAGGAAGGAGCAGAAGCTCTGTGAAAGCTACTCGCCATGGTGTACAACAAGTCACTGGTAACAGATGAACTGCCCAAAATTTGGAAGACGGCTAATAAAGTCCCGAAATTCAAGAAGGGGTGACAGACAGTAGGCACTGAACTACAGGCCAGTGTCACTTACTTGCATACCATGTAAGATTGATGGAGAAGATGGTGATGGAGAAGATTGTGCGAAAAAAGCTAGTGGAACATCTGGAGCGGAGGAAAATTATATCACAACATCAGCATGGGTTCAGGGATGGCAGATCATGCCCCACAGGATTGATTGAATTCTATGACCAGGCAACAAAAATCAGCCAAGAAAGAGAAGGATGGGCAGACTGCACATTTTGGGACTGCCAAGAAATCCTTTGGCACAGTACCACATAAGAGACTAATGCACAAACTGGAGATGCAGGTAAAAGTGAAAGGGAAGGTACTTCACTGGATAAGGGAGTACCTAAGCAACAGAAGACAGAGAGTCATTGTGAGGGATAGGGTCTCAGAGTGGCGAGGCGTCACCCGTGGAGTACCTCAGGGATCAGTTTTTGGACCTATACTGTTCCCGATATATGTAAATGATCTCCCAGAGGAAATAGACTCGTTCCTCTCAATGTTTGCTGATGATGCAAAAATTATGAGGAGGATTAAGACAGAGGAAGATAGTATGAGGCAACAAGATGACCTAAACAAACTGAAGGAATGGTCAAACAAATGGCTACTAAAGTTCAACCCAATTAAGTGTAAGGTAATGAAACTAGGGGAAGGAAATAGAAGGCCAGACACTGGATACCGAATGGAGGATGAAGTCCTTCACGAAACGGACAGAGAGATAAATCTAGGAGTTGATATCACGTCTAACCTGTCTTCTGAAGCCCACATCAAAAGAATAACATCGGCAGCGTATGCGAGGCTGGCTAACATCAGAACCGCCTTCAAAAACCTGTGTAAGGAATCTTTCAGAACCTTGTATACTACATATGTAAGGCCAATCCTGGAGGATATGGCCCCAGCATGTCAAGCTGGGGCCACATCCAGTTTGGTCTTGTCAAGCACAAGACGAAGCTGGAAAAAGTTCAAAGGTTATGCCACTAGGCAAGTCCCAGAACTAAGAGGCATGAGTTACGAGGAAAGGCTGCGTGAACTGCACCTCACGTCGCTGGAAAACAGAAGAGCCCGGGGAGATCACCACATACAAATTTCCCAGGAGAATCGACAGGGTAGACAAGGATGGATTATTTAACACAGGTGGTACACGCACAAGGGGACACAGGTGGAAGCTGAGTACCCAAATGAGCCACAGACACATTTGAAAGAACTTTTTCAGTGTCAGAGTAGTTAGTAAATAGAATGCACTAGGAAGTGATGTGGTGGCGGCTGACTCCATGCACAGTTTCAAATGCAGATATGACAGAGCCCAGTAGGCTCAGGAATCTGTACACCAGTTGATTGACGGTTGAGAGGCGGGACCAAAGAGCCAGAGCTCAACCCCTGTAAGCACAATTAAGTGAGAACACACACACACACACACACATACACACAGGGGCCTGGTAGCCTGGTGGATAGCGCGCAGGACTCGTAATTCTGTGGCGCGGGTTCGATTCCCGCACCAGGCAGGAACAAATGGGCAAAGTTTCTTTCACCCTGAATGCCCCTGTTACCTAGCAGTAAATAGGTACCTGGGAGTTAGTCAGCTGTAAAAAAAAAAGTAGTTAGTAAACAGTTGAGTGACAGTTGAGAAGCGGGCCGAAAGAGAACAGCTCAACCCCCGCAAACACAAGTAGGTGAATACACACACACACACACACACACACACACACACACACACACACACACACACACACACACACACACACACACACACACACGACCAGTGGCCGAGCAGACAGCACGCTGGACATGTGATCCTTCGATCCCGGCGCCGGCGAGAAACAATGGGCAGAGTTTCTTTCACTTTATGCCCCTGTTACCTAGCAGTCAATAGGTACCTGGGAGTTAGTCAGCTGTCACGGGCTGCTTCCTGGGGTGTGTGTGTGTGTGTGTGTGGAAAAAAATAGTAGTAGTAGTAGTAGTTAGAAATAGTTGATTGACAGTTGAGAGGCGGGCCGAAAGAGCAGAGCTCAACCCCCGCAAGCACAACTAGGTGAGTACACAAGAAGTGCTCCCCCTTCCCCTTGACGGGGGGGGGGAGCCTTTGGACAAGGGGAACTAGGCCTTATGGAAGACGCCCCGGGTCTGACCTCCCTCAGGATGCAACCCACAACAGCTGCCTAACTCCTGGAAACCTGTTTACTACTAGGTGAACAGAGGCATCAAATGAAATGAAACATGTAAAATCATTTCTACCCCGTCAGGGAATCGAACCCGGGTTTCTCAGTTGTAGGTCGAGGACTTAGACCACAGAACAACAGTGGTATAGGAAAGTGGAAAAGGAAGTGTATAACAGAACTAACAGAACACTTTATAACGGTTTACTTTGTAAATAAGTCTAATATAAATACAAAGTCACTATCATTGAGGAAAGATGTACAGGTTTCGTAAATAGTTGCGTAAATGCTTGTGAAATCCTGCTGGCCCTCGGCCACAAGAATAGATTGTGGAGCGAACTCGATAACGACCTTCAGGACAGCGGGACAAGCCGCTTGAATAAATAGTTCCAAGAGCTTACAAACGTGCGGAAAGACGGGGCTAGGGAGCTAATACTCGACCCTGCAAGAGAATATACGTGAGTACAACTAGGTAAATACACATATATAATGATATCGAATTCCTAAATTGAAGTATAAATTACATCATTCACACCCGAGCCGTAATCTGGTCGACACGCACATTTTCCTCGCAAAGAAAGAACAAATCTTAATAAACTCTAATTTACTTCGTACGGAAGAAAATAAACTTTTCTTTCTAATTTTCACAGTAAAATATTTAACAAAATAATATACATTGTATATTACACGTTTCAATAATGAGTAGGTTAGGTGAGATAGGGTGTTGAGCTATGGGTCAAGAGCGTGCTGAGGGCACCAGACCTTACCTTTGGCACTCTGGTGTATATTAAACCCCTCAGGCCAGGTGTGGCCATCATACCTGTGGCACCCTGGCTTGTATTGGCCCCTCAGAGCCAGGTGTGGCCCTCAGACATGTTCCACCCTGGTCACCATATTTTCAGGCATGTCAAGGCACCCCCCTTCCCTTCATAGATCTATCGCGAGGAGTTCATCCCATTAAAGGGATTTTTGGCTTTCCTTTTAGCCTTACACTCACCTTTCTTGGTAGAGAAGGAGAAGTGAGGGGACTCGTCTGACCAGCCGTACTTGTTCCTGACGAGGATGACGGCCACGTAGTCCGTGGCCACGTCCAGGTCGTCGAGGGTAAACACCATGGAGTGTGTGGTGGTGGTGTTGGTGGTGGTGTTGTGGGTCCCTCTGGCAGCCTCCACACTCCTGCTCACTGTCTTCCACGACCCGGCCAACACCATAGTCTGGTTGGTCTGTGAGGGATGTTGTCAACACCAGGACACATGTGTGTGTGCTCTCTGGGGTACATATGTGGTATTCGTGCAAGTCTATACTGGCACGAAGAGCACATATGGAGCTCTTATGAAGAGCACTTACATTAATAAAACGTATGCATAGATATATATACCTTTTTCTACCATTATATCACTAGCCACCACTAGGAAAAACTATACCCATAGGTATCACTGAATAAATAAATACAACTACATCACAACTACATCACTAGCCACCACGACCGTAACCACCAATACATCACTACACACTAGTTGCCACTACATCACTGCACCACTAACCACCGCATCACTAACCACTACTACACTACCCACCACTACACCACTAACCGCCACTACACCACTGTACCACTAACCGCCACTGCACCACTGTACCACAACCACCACTACACCACTGTACCACTAACCACCACTGTACCACTAACCGCCACTGCACCACTGTACCACAACCACCACTACACCACTGTACCACTAACCGCCACTGCACCACTAACCACCACTGTACCACTAACCACCACTGTACCACTAACCACCACTGTACCACTAACCACCACTGCACTGCTAACCACCACTGTACCACTAACCACCACTACACCACTAACCACCACTGCACCACCACTGCACCACTGAACCACTAACCACCACTGCAGCACTAACCACCACTAACCACCACTGCAGCACTAAGGTATACTCACCTGCCAGGCCCCCAGGTGTGACCTGCGGTACTTGATGATGAAGTCAGTGATGGGGTAGTAGCTCTCCGTCACCCAGGTGAGGGTGTACCTGGTGCTCTCCCCCCCGGTGGGGGTACTGGTTACCTGGGGCGACTCGGGCATACCTGGACAACAATTAGAAGAGGTGGCTTAGGCCCAGACATCTTAGAAAGGTGTGAGGTGGCTTGGGGTAACCCTGGCGAGGGAGATAAGGGGGAATTATTCGAGATTTGGTTATCTAGGTGAACCTTGATAGTGATATCGTAGGAGGGGGAAGAGAGATGTAACTTGTCGCTAGGGAATAAGGGGAGATTATTTAGGTGACTTGGGTAGCCCTGTGTGGGCTATCCAAGGGACAGGTAGCCCACCTGTTCTTTTTTTTAGTAATGTCCATACTAAAGGAGGGTCATTAGGGATCCCTACGCTGGTAATTAGAGATTAGACTGGCTTGGTGAACCTAGGAAGTGTAGTTTGGGAAGGGTGATGAGAGAGGCGGCTCTTGAGGCCGTGGAGACCATGAAGTAAGGTCTCAGCCTCTGAGTTGCAAGGAATTTAGAAGTGGCTTAAAGGAGTGCAGGACTAGCATTCATGAAGCATTTGTGCCATCACTTGCGAAACCTGTACATCTTTCCTTAATCATGACGGCTCTGTTTACATTTATTAAACTGGTTAGGTTTTTGAAGGTTGTTAAATTTTCGACACATGTCCAGTGTGTAATGTGTGTGATTGGCAAGTCCAGGAACGCGGGTTCGATCCCATTCAATCACATTCAACGAGGAGGAAGGTGACTTAGAGATCCACAGGGGCAGTCGCGAAGCCCTGGGTGGGCATTCATTAAGGATGTACGCAACCACTTACGAAACATGTACATCTTCCCTTAGTCACTGATACCTCCTTTACATTTATTAAACATTGTATGTGCTCCGAAGCACTACGAGGTTGTTTACAACTTTAATAACCTTGTGTTGTGAAGCTTACAAGTTTGTAAACTGTTTGATGAATGGTTATCAACCATGGCGCAACAAAGCCGCCATGGTTGTTCAGCGATGAACAGGTGCTGTAAGGGGATGGGAAAATGCTTGATGAATCCTTGCCAGGGGTGAGAAAGAGGAATGTTAAGAACATCTTCAACGAGTGGGAATGATGAGAGAGATGTCTCAGGAGGTCCTCGTGAAGACTTAGTGAAATGTGGTTTATTTCATGTATAAAATAACATATCCTGAGAAAGATTTTCTCAAATTTATAATATTTATCCTATATACTGTACTCCATACGCCTGGAGTCAACACACCATACACCCTTAATCATAGCGGCTCTGTTTACATTTATTAAAGGGGTTAGGTTTTCGAAGGTTATTAAATTTTCGACACATGTCCAGTGTGTAATGTGTGTGATTTGGCAAGTCCAGGGACGCGGACTCAACACTCACATACACTCAACAGGACTCAACACACCATACACCTGAACACAACACATACACCTGAAGAGAACACACCATACACCTGGAGTCAACACACCATACACCTGCAGTCAACGCACCATACACCTGGACACAACACACCTGGACACAACACACCTGGACTCAACACACCATACACCTGGACACAACACACCTGGACTCAACACACCTGGACACAACACAACACACCTGGACACAACACACCTGGACACAACACACCTGGACTCAACACACCATACACCTGGACACAACACAACACACCTGGACTCAACACACCTGGACACAACACACCATACACCTGGACTCAACACACCATACACCTGGAGTCAACACACCATACACCTGGAGTCAACACACCATACACCTGGAGTCAACACACCATACACCTGCAGTCAACACACCATACACCTGGAGTCAACACACCATACACCTGGAGTCAACACACCATACACCTGGACTCAACACACCATACACCTGAACACAACACACCATACACCTGGACTCAACACACCATACACCTGGACACAACACACCATACACCTGGACACAACACACCATACACCTGGACACAACACACCATACACCTGGACACAACACACCTGGACACAACACACCATACACCTGGAGTCAACACACCAACACACCTGGACTCAACACACCATACACCTGGACACAACACACCTGGACTCAACACACCATACACCTGGACACAACACACCTGGACTCAACACACCATACACCTGGACACAACACACCATACACCTGGACACAACACACCATACACCTGGACACAACACACCTGGACACAACACACCTGGACTCAACACACCTGTCATCTGGATTACAGCTTCCTTCTGACCATAGTTGTTCCTCGCGATGCAGACGTAAGCGCCGAAGTCTTTCTCGGAAACATTCTTTATGGTGAAGATGTGGCGATGGGTGGCATGGGGGAGGGCGAAATGGGCGGTGGTGTGGGCGGCGTAGCCGGCATGGGCGGCGTGGGCGGGTCTCAGGTGGGCGGTGTACGAGTCGAAGGAATTGTTTTGGCGTTCTGGTATATAAAGTTTGGTGTCCATGTCGGTGTCCGGGAGCGGATGGTCATCTTTGGTCCAAGTGACATCCGGGGAAGGTCGACCTTTGACTATACAGGCAAGCTCGACCGTGTCGCCCTCGCCAGTCCTCACGATGGTCTGTTGGAGGGAGAAGGTCAGCTTGGTGAGAGGGCGTGCTCTGTGGCTTGGTGACCACATACACACAGTCACATTGATTGATGCTCGTCGATACATGCGGACACAGCCACACACAGATAGGCACTATGGCAAACACAGACACATACATACACAGGTATTGGGTATTAAGAGCGACTGCGATCTGAACCTGACGACGCTAGAAAAAAAGGAGTGAGCGGGGAGACGTGATAAAGACGTATAAAACGCTTATGGGATTGACAAAGTGGAAATGGATCAAATGTTCACACTGAATGTCATCAGAATAAGTGGGCATGTTTCGAAGGCTGAAACTCAGATAAGTCATAGAGATGTTACAAAGGTTTCAATTAACGTAAGAGTAGTGGCAAAATGGAATGAACTAAAGGAGCATGTTGTGGAAGCAATATCTATTCATAGTTTTAAAAGTAGATATGAGAGGGAAGGAGAACAAGAGCATTAAACAATTGGCGGCTAGAAAGGCGGGTTCGAAGAGCTAATGCTCGATCCTGCAGGCACAAATATATGAATACAAATAGGTGAGTACACACACAATGTGTATATGTGTGTATATAGGCTCGGGGTACATCGAGCCTATTAGACCTGATTTTCACCCAGAACGAGAAAGACGGCGAGAATTTGGAACATGAAATACCACTAGGAGCCAGTGACCATTGTGTCTTTGACTTCATGATCGAACTTAAAATTGTGACTATGGGCAAGAGATCTGGGAGAGGAGAGTTGACTATAGGAAAGGGGATTATAGGAAAATATGGGAATATCTGGGAGAAGTGCAGCGGGAGGAATTACTTAGAGGAAAAAACAGTACAAGATATGATGGACCCAGTCAAATGGAAATGCAAGGAGGCTGAAGAGTGTTTCATACCAACAGTAAGGAATAACCCCTGGTTTAATAGACAGTGTCAGGAAGCAAAAATGAGAAGCAGGAGGGAGAGGAGGAAGTACAATTGCAACAGGAAGTTGAAATGAATACAGGGCTAGGAATGAATACATAAATATAAGGATATTATCGGAAAGAAATTATGAGAACGCCATTACCATCAAAGATTGATTGAGCCACCCAAAAGGTGGCTCGGTCATGAATAAGTGAGTAAGAGCACGAATATATAAGTAAGAGCACGGTAAGTAAGATTAAGAGCACGGGCATGAATAAGAATAAGGCACAGGCACAGTAAGTGGAGGCTCTTTGGGGCCATTACCAGTACCAATATCTGATACCGGAGATCTGCGGATGGATGGGATCTTCATGGTCGCTCGCAGTGTATGGCCCGCAGGAGGCTTGGTCGCCAGGTTGTCGTTTATTATACAAGGCGACGCTCTATACTTGAACAGTACAACCTCGCTAGTTTGGTACCATCAGGATCGTATTCCTTTTCGAGAAATTGCATTTGTTCGTCTGGGAATTTGCGGTGGAATTCTGGGTCGCGGTATTCTTTCTTCAGTATGGTGAGGTCAGTGTAGGAGTTCATGGTGTTGGCATGGACATACATGGGGTACGGGTGTGTGTTCTGGGTAACTTTCTTGCTATATGTGGCCCAATTTTCGTCTGGTGTTTGCGTTGCCATTGAACTTGCTGTGCGGAATGAAGAGCACATGACAAGTACTTTTGTCTTCGTCGTCGGTCGAAAGGCCATTCTCGTCGACGTCGGTGGTGGCTTTGAAGAGCCTCCTGGTGTCGGTTGTGGGAGGTTCGGGTGGTCCTTCGTCGTCTTCGTTGGCACGGGCAGCCAGGGTGGGTGACATCCCTGTTACCGGGCTGGTTGTGGTGCCTGTTGCGGGGTCGAACGAACAGCAGCAAGTGGAGGAGCTGAGAAAAGATCACCTGGTGTCGTCACCGTCGGTAGTCCATTTGCGGTGAGCAGCCGGTTGACTGTGTGTGGACGTATCGATTGACGTCGTTTCCCGCCAATTTGTCGTCGAGGTGTAGAAGTACCAGTAGCAGGATGGTGTTGGTGGTAACTGCAGGCATGGTTGGTGGTAGTGAAGGCTGCGGAGGTGAGGGACCAAATGGTGGTGATGTAGTAGCAGCTTCCCCAGGTGGGGAAGACGTAGACGTAGGTGGGTTGGCGGGCTGAGGTGAGGTAGTGGTTGCTGTCGTCTTTTTCATTTCCTCCTGCCGGTGGAGACAGTCAGGTGAAAATGCAGTGTGCGGGCCATTGCAGAGTAGGCAGCGTCGGTGGGAGGATGTGCAGGCTGTGTAGTGATGCTTCTGGGCACAGATACTGCATTTCTACACTTGCTCGGTGCGCTTCCTGGTGTAGTGGGAGTACCGGTAGCACTTGAAGCACTGACGAAGGTCCGTGAATCGTTCCTTGATCACTTGGGCACGTGGAATAGTGATTCCGGCGCACTTAAGTCCGTGTTCCGTGACGTGGGTCGCTACGATGGCCGTGCTGAAGGTCACTTTCAGCGTCGGTCTGCGGGTGTTGTCGGAGTTGGTGCTGGTCTTGGCCAACACGCAACCATTGATGCTGGCGAGGATGTTGTCGTCGTTACGGGCGGAGATCCATACGCTGATGTGTCTGGCACAGTCGTGTCCGCCAGGTAGCGTCGTGGAGGAGTGAGGGTGCGACCGGCGTCTAGCAGGGTGGTCGTGGTGGAGGCGGGGAATAGCTTCTCCAGGTCGTTGTCGCTGGAGAAGAGCAGGTGAACACCTTCTCTGGTCTCCAGGATGTCAGCCGGTGAGACATTTCCTATGGTAGAGACCTTTTCTAAGATCTCAGCCGTGGTGAGAACGAGGTCCTCTCGGAGGCAAACCTTGACCCTGAGCAACACGTGCAGGTGGGCCCTGGACCATAGAGGCTTGGATCTGTGCGTCTTTGTCGCAACTCAGTGTTGACCGCTGTGTGGGCTATCAAAGCAAAAAAGCAACTTAAATTACTACAGGCATACAAGAAGAAAACTGTCGGTGAACAACAATTTCATGAGCAGGGAGAGGTGCCGGAGGATGAGAGTGTGTGAGCAGGGAGAGAGGTGCTGGGGGATAGGAGTGTGTGAGCAGGGAGAGAGGTGCTGGGGGATGGGAGTGTGTGAGCAGGGAGAGAGGTGCTGGGGGATGGGAGTGTGTGAGCAGGGAGAGAGGTGCTGGGGGATGGGAGTGTGTGAGCAGGGAGAGAGGTGCTGGGGGATGGGAGTGTGTGAGCAGGGAGAGGTGCCAGAGGATGGGAGTGTGTGAGCAGGTTCTCACATTTTTGAGAACCGCCGTGTGTACCAGAGATACGAGCGACTTACCTTCTCTGTGATAATCTCTGGAGGGTAGTCCACGGTGATGGACATGGCAGCAGAAGCAGACTCCCCGATACCGTTGTCGGCCGTGCACAGGTAGGTACCTTCTACGTGGTGGTCCAGGCCCTCCAGCGTCAGGGTGTTGCCCTGCAGGAGCCCCGCCAGGGCGGTGATACCTTAGTCACGTGAGGTATGTAATCATAAAGAGCAAGTGGTTACCTGGTATGGTTGTTTTGCACTTGGAAGAGATATGGAGACAATAAGGGATGATACCTAACCACTTGGACTATCGGGAATTGAACGCAGACTTGCTAGAAGCAAGGTCGTCGGGCTGCAGTGACCAATTCTAAGTGGTTGGACAAAAGGATGTTATGCGTATTTGTCCTGAGGACAATATTTTAACATTTGAATTTATGGGACAAATTCAGTTTAACAGGATAAAGAGAATCTTATCTTCAGCAAAAGTTGGGTGACTCTAATCCCGAGCATCTGACCTCCAACCTAGGCAGACAAACTGACAAAAAAACAGACATTCTTTCTTATAGATATTGATATATATCTATCAAGCAAATAGACTTTTTCTCTTATATATATATATATATATATATATATATATATATATATATATATATATATATATATATATACATATATATATATATATATATATATATATATATATATATATATATATATATATATATATATATATATATATATATATATATATATATATATATTGAGTGAGGTTATCCTCACTTTTCGTCCACACATGAGATATGGAGAGGGAAGGGGAGGGAATATCAGAGGAAAGTGCCAAGCCATTACGACAATATAGCACTTGGAAGGGATCAGGATAAGGATTAAGGATGGGACGGGGGAAAGGAATGGTGCCCAACCACTTGGACTGTCGGGGATTGAACGCCGACCTACATGAAGCGAAACTGTCCAACCCGGAAGGTAGGTGCATGTAATTTGTTTCATAGGCCCAGTCGGGGTCGGCCTAAGTACCATGCTTTACCAAATATCGGCATCTTAAGTGCCCTCCTCTGTGATTTTCATAAAATTTGAAATAAAATACGGGGGTTGTCAAAACTGTAGTGTTTACCTATGCTTACTCCCGCCGTTTACCGGGTGAAATGAGTGGGAAGAGGTGTAAAGGGAGTGTGAGAGAGAGAGAGAGAGAGAGAGAGAGAGAGAGAGAGAGAGAGAGAGAGAGAGAGAGAGAGAGAGAGAGAGAGAGAGAGAGAGAGAGAGAGAGAGAGAGAGAGAGAGAGAGAGAGAGAGAGAGAGAGAGAGAGAGAGAGAGAGAGAGAGAGAGAGAGAGAGAGAGAGAGAGAGAGAGAAAGGTGGGGGGGGCTGGGGAAGGAATGAGGTTTGGGGAGAGGGTAGGGGGGAGATGTTGGGGGGGGGTGAAGCAAAGAGAGAGGGGAAGAAATGTGTAGGGGTGAGAGTGGGTAGGAAAAGGGGGAGAGGTGAGAGAGAGTAGAGATTGGGAGACAGAGGTAACATGATTGGGATGATGAGGATGAGGAGGGAAGAGAAATGAGAGAAGGGGGAATTTGAATGAGAAAAGGGGGGAGGGAAGAGGGTCTCATCCTCGAAGAATTATTCTCGCCTACACATATAGATATATTGTACTGTATATATTATAAATATACGTACACATGCACACCGAGAGTATATAGTGACTGACCTCAGTTGGAAGGTTGGATGGGAGAGGGCTCTCTTGACGAGACCAGCGGATGACGGGCTCTGGGTTCCCCTGAGCTCTGCACTCCAGCGTCACGGTAGAGCCCTTAGGCACGTGCTGTTCTGGCGGGTCTAGAGCTTTGATGGTGGGTGCGAACTGGACATCCAGCGTGTGCTTAAGCTGAATAGGCGGCTCCATTTCGAAGGTACAGAGGAAGGTTCCAGCGTCTCTGGGCCTGGTGTCCGTGATGGTGAGACGGGACCCGTCCACAGCGATGCGGGAGTCTCTGATCACCCGCTCACTCCCCACAGATATCAGCTTCTCCCTCCCGCCATTGGAAGGAATTTTCTTAATAATGAGCTTGTTAACACCTGTAAGGATCCACGCCAAGATCGACCCTCATTAACCTTTAGAATTACCTCACTCATTAACATTTAAAGTTGTTTAAATAATGCGTAAATTAATGTAATGCAACCATTTAAATTCAGCAATTCACGTAACACATAGAGCTGTGGAATCTGTGTACATGAACATTGTTATCAGGTCAGGGGAGAATCAGGTTTCCTATCTATTTACATGTAAAGCAAAATCTCCATCTTTGACCCACAGTCTTGACTTAAATACAGTCTCCAGTAATATAAATAGCAGCGAGAAATTATGTTATTCGAAAAGCAGTTTAGAAATACCCTATGATTGATGATTGATCATTGATCATTGATCATTGAGGCACTAATATCACCTGTCAGGGATGTACAGTTGATCATCATGCAACACCTGCAGCAAGAGGCCACTCATCACGCTACACCTGCAACATGAGGCCACTCATCATGCTACACCTGCAACATGAGGCCACTCATCATGCTACACCTGCAACATGAGGCCACTCATCATGCTACACCTGCAACATGAGGCTACTCATCATGCTACACCTGCAACATAAGGCCACTCATCGTGCTACACCTGCAACATGAGGCCACCCATCGTGCTACACCTGCAACATGAGGACACTCATCATGCTACACCTGCAACATGAGGCCACTCATCGTGCTACACCTGCAACATAAGGCCACTCATCATGCTACACCTGCAACATGAGGCCACTCATCATGCTACACCTGCAACATGAGGCTACTCATCATGCTACACCTGCAACATAAGGATACTCATCATGCTACACCTGCAACATAAGGCCACTCATCGTGCTACACCTGCAACATAAGGCCACTCATCATGCTACACCTGCAACATGAGGCCACTCATCATGCTACACCTGCAACATGAGGCCACTCATCATGCTACACCTGCAACATGAGGCCACTCATCATGCTACACCTGCAACATGAGGCCACTCATCATGCTACACCTGCAACATAAGGCCACTCATCATGCTACACCTGCAACATAAGGATACTCATCATGCTACACCTGCAACATAAGGCCACTCATCGTGCTACACCTGCAACATAAGGCCACTCATCATGCTACACCTGCAACATGAGGCCACTCATCATGCTACACCTGCAACATAAGGCCACTCATCGTGCTACACCTGCAACATAAGGATACTCATCATGCTACACCTGCAACATGAGGCCACTCATCGTGCTACACCTGCAACATAAGGCCACTCATCGTGCTACACCTGCAACATGAGGACACTCATCGTGCTACACCTGCAACATGAGGCCACTCATCACGCTACACCTGCAACATGAGGCCACTCATCGTGCTACACCTGCAACATAAGGCCACTCATCATGCTACACCTGCAACATGAGGCCACTCATCGTGCTACACCTGCAACATGAGGCCACTCATCACGCTACACCTGCAACATGAGGCCACTCATCGTGCTACACCTGCAACATGAGGCCACTCATCGTGCTACACCTGCAACATAAGGCCACTCATCATGCTACACTGCAACATGAGGCCACTCATCGTGCTACACCTGCAACATGAGGCCACTCATCATGCTACACCTGCAACATGAGGCCACTCATCGTGCTACACCTGCAACATGAGGTCACTCATCACGCTACACCTGCAACATGAGGCCACTCATCGTGCTACACCTGCAACATGAGGCCACTCATCGTGCTACACCTGCAACATAAGGCCACTCATCATGCTACACTGCAACATGAGGCCACTCATCGTGCTACACCTGCAACATGAGGCCACTCATCACGCTACACCTGCAACATGAGGCCACTCATCGTGCTACACCTGCAACATAAGGCCACTCATCATGCTACACCTGCAACATGAGGCCACTCATCGTGCTACACCTGCAACATGAGGCCACTCATCACGCTACACCTGCAACATGAGGCCACTCATCGTGCTACACCTGCAACATGAGGCCACTCATCGTGCTACACCTGCAACATAAGGCCACTCATCATGCTACACTGCAACATGAGGCCACTAATCATGCTACACTGCAACATGAGGCCACTCATCATGCTACACCTGCAACATGAGGCCACTCATCGTGCTACACCTGCAACATGAGGGCACTCATCATGCTACACCTGCAACATGAGGGCACTCATCATGCTACACCTGCAACATGAGGCCACTCATCATGTTACACTGCAAGATGAGGCCACTCATCATGCTACACTGCAACATGAGGGCACTCATCATGCTACACCTGCAACATGAGGGCACTCATCATGCTACACTGCAAGATGAGGCCACTCATCATGCTACACTGCAAGATGAGGCCACTCATCATGCAATACGTGCAACAAGAGGCCCTCATCATGCAACACGTGCAACAAGAGGCCCTCATCATGCAACAAGAGGCCCTCATCATGCAACACGTGCAACAAGAGGCACTCATCATGCAACAAGAGGCCCTCATCATGCAACACGTGCAACAAGAGGCCCTCATCATGCAACAAGAGGCCCTCATCATGCAACACGTGCAACAAGAGGCCCTCATCATGCAACACGTGCAACAAGAGGCCCTCATCATGCAACAAGAGGCCCTCATCATGCAACACATGCAACAAGAGGCCCTCTTCATGCAACAAGAGGCCCTCATCATGCAACAAGAGGCCCTCATCATGCAACACATGCAACAAGAGGCCCTCTTCATGCAACACGTGCAACAAGAGGCCCTCATCATGCAACAAGAGGCCCTCATCATGCAACACGTGCAACAAGAGGCCCTCATCATGCAACAAGAGGCCCTCATCATGCAACACATGCAACAAGAGGCCCTCATCATGCAACACATGCAACAAGAGGCCCTCATCATGCAACACGTGCAACAAGAGGCCCTCATCATGCAACAAGAGGCCCTCATCATGCAACACATGCAACAAGAGGCACTCATCATGCAACACATGCAACAAGAGGCACTCATCATGCAACAAGAGGCCCTCATCATGCAACACATGCAACAAGAGGCACTCATCATGCAACACATGCAACAAGAGGCACTCATCATGCAACAAGAGGCCCTCATCATGCAACACATGCAGCAAGAAGCCACTCATCATGCAACAAGAGGCACTCATCATGCAACACATGCAACAAGAGGCCACTCATCATGCAACACATGCAACAAGAGGCACTCATCATGCAACAAGAGGCCCTCATCAAGCAACACATGCAACAAGAGGCCCTCATCATGCAACAAGAGGCCACTCATCATGCAACACATGCAACAAGAGGCACTCATCATGCAACAAGAGGCCACTCATCATGTAACACATGCAACAAAAGGCACTCATCATGCAACAAGAGGCCCTCATCATGCAACACATGCAACAAGAGGCCCTCATCATGCAACAAGAGGCCACTCATCATGCAACACATGCAACAAGAGGCACTCATCATGCAACAAGAGGCCCTCATCATGCAACACATGCAACAAGAGGCACTCATCATGCAACACATGCAACAAGAGGCACTCATCATGCGACAAGAGGCCACTCATCATGCAACACATGCAGCAAGAGGCCACTCATCATGCTGCAACAGCTGGTGTAAGAGGCCACACACCTGCGTTCTCCACATCGCAGGGGATGATGACTGACTGCCCCACCTCCACCTTGAAGGTCTGTGAGCGCGCCAGGAAGTTCGGCGCGTCCTCTATCACCTCCTCGTAGTCCTGGTACGTACTTGCGTCATCGTAGTTGTAGTTGTAGTTTTCCGTGTAGCCCCTTGATAGTCCTGTAGACAGAAGTGAGAGAGTTGCTATAGTTCTGGCTGTAGCCCCTTGACAGTCCTGTAGACAGAAGAGAGAGTTGCTATAGTTCTGGCTGTAGCCCCTTGACAGTCCTGTAGACAGAAGAGAGAGTTGCTATAGTTCTGGCTGTAGCCCCTTGACAGTCCTGTAGACAGAAGAGAGAGTTGCTATAGTTCTGGCTGTAGCCCCTTGATAGTCCTGTAGACAGAAGAGAGAGTTGCTATAGTTCTGGCTGTAGCCCCTTGATAGTCCTGTAGACAGAAGAGAGAGTTGCTATAGTTCTGGATGTAGCCCCTTGATAGTCCTGTAGACAGAAGAGAGAGTTGATATAGTTCTGGCTGTAGCCCCTTGATAGTCCTGTAGACAGAAGAGAGAGTTGCTATAGTTCTGGCTGTAGCCCCTTGACAGTCCTGTAGACAGAAGAGAGAGTTGCTATAGTTCTGGCTGTAGCCCCTTGATAGTCCTGTAGACAGAAGAGAGAGTTGTTATAGTTCTGGCTGTAGCCCCTTGATAGTCCTGTAGACAGAAGAGAGAGAGTTGATATAGTTCTGTCTTTAGTCCCTTGATAGTGCAGACAATAATGCACTAATGCTTTGTCTATATTGTACACGGGATGTGTGTACTCACTTGTACTCACCTGTGTGTGTGTGTGTGTGTGTGTGTGTGTGTGTGTGTGTGTGTGTGTGTGTGTGTGTGTGTGTGTGTGTGTGTGTGTGTGTGTGTGTGTGTGTGTGTGTGTGTGTGTGTGTGTGTACTCACCTAGATGTGCTTGCAGGAGGGTCGAGCTAGGCTCCTAACCTCACCTTCTGAACGTTCGTTGATGAATTAATGCAGTGACTCATTTCTCACACTTTTATCATATTTACATTCAATTTTTTTTAATTGAATTTGCTTCAACGACTTCTGCATTTTATCATTTATTGACAGCTTCAACACAGAAGAAAAATACTTCCTGATGGCTCTATGGCTCATTTGCGTCTCCTGTTTCCATCTATGACTCGTTCCGCTGTTCATGGCTTTGAACAACGCTGTTTTGTTTACTTTGTCAATTTCCCTCAGATTCTTATATATTGTTATCATGTCAGGCCTCACCCCGCTATCATGTGGTACGGGTGAGACCTGACATCCTGACACTCTCTCCTTCCTTCAGTGTGGTAAGGTTCAGTTCTCTCAGTTGTTCCTCGTAGCTCAGTCCCCTCAGCTTCGAAACAAGTCTCGTTGCATATCTTTCGACATTTTCTAGTTTCTCCTTGTCCTTTTTTAAGAAAGGGTTCCATGCTGGGGATGCATATTCAAGAGTGGGTCTCACCTTCGCTCTATATAGAACCTGGAAAGCTCCTTTATCTCAGTTTCTGAAGGATACGCGGACCACAATCTAATCTTCACCTGATTCTTCTCATTAGCTTTGCATCACCTGCAAACATTGATATGAAGGAGCAAGTTCTCTGTCAGATCATTGGCATATTAGAAACAGGATGATCCCTGGAGCCGACCCTTGTGGTACTCCACTTATTACCACTCTCCATTCTGATGTCTCTGTTCTCACTGTAACCCTTTGATTCCTTCCTGAGAGACACTCTCTGACCCACCTTAGGACTCTTCCAGATATACCGGCCTGCTTTTCTAGTTTGAGTAAGTTTTTCCTGCGGGTCCATATTAAATGCCTTCTGACAGTCAAGGAATATGCAGTCTGCCCATCCGGCTCTCTCTCTTGTTTGATTGTTGTCATCTTGTTGTAGAACTCCAGCAAGTTTGTTAATCAAGATTTTCCTTTACTAAAACCATGCTGGTGCCTTGAGACAAAATTGATTTGTGCTAAATGTTGTACTGGCCTGGGACCAGATTCACGAAAGCACTTATGCAAGCACTTACGAACCTGTACATCTTTTCTCAATCTTTAGCGGCTTTGTTTCCAATTAATAAACAGTTAATGAGCTCCGAAGCACCAGGAGGCTGTTTATAACAATAACAACAGTTGAATGGGAAGTTTTCGGGCTTTTAAACTATTTAATAAATGTAACCAAAGCCGTCAAAGATTGAGGAAAGATGTACATGTTCGTAAGTGCCTGCGTAAGTGCTTTCGTGAATCTGGCCCCAGCTTGGGATCAATCTCTCTGGCAACTTGCAGGGGGATACTTGTTAGTGATATGGGTCTGTAATTTAACAGTTTCTGTCTTCCTCCTTTCTTGTAGATTGGTATCACATTAGCCATTTTCCAGATGCCAGGAAGTTCTCCCGTTTCTAGAGAGGAATGAAATATTATGGCAAGTGGGCTGCACAATGCTTCAGCTGCCTCGTTTAGTACCCATGGTGAAATTTGGTCTCGACTTCCGATTTTTGTCACATCCAGTTCCTGCAGTAGCTTCTTGACTACTTCTGATAACACTGTTATTTCAGTGAGGCTTTTCTATGGAGTTTCCCGTTCAGTTTAGGCTCTAAGCTCTAGTGGCAAATCAGGCTCCAGCTTGAATATTTCCTGATAACTTTTGTCAAGTTCCTCAAATGACATTAATTGTCAATTTTTACTATCATTTTGCGTGTCTCTTTCCTCACTTTTGTCAAGTTTGATAACCTGCTCATTCACAGTCATCTTCCTCCTGATGTGTGTACTCACCTAATTGTGCTTGCGGGGGTTGAGCTCTGGTTCTTTGGTCCCGCCTCTCAACCGTAATGTGTGTGTGTGTGTGTGTGTGTGTGTGCGTATGCGTGCATGGATGAGCCGTGCATGGATGATTATAACAGGGGGAGGTAATGTTATGCAAGGAATACCAACAAACTAACCAATTTAACAAAATCACATCCAATTTGGAGGAGTCCGATGGGATTGAACTCGCGCTTCTAACAATGCACTCCATTGCTCCAAAATGTATCGTAGATTGATTACGTTATTGTGACTTGGTTGTGGGTATAATATGCAGCTACAGAAGGGGATACAGGTGAAGGACGAACAGATGACTGGATCTCCGCAGCAATACCTTGTATTGCTGCGGAGATCCAGGTGATCCAGGTGTTGCTGTACCAGGTGTGTAACGGGATGGTTTAACCACATTTATAGAGAGGGTCAGAAATATAAGGGCAGAACTATGCCCATTCATATGACGGTCGGGAGCCGGTCGGCCGAGCGGACAGCACGCTGGACTTGTGATCCTGTAGTCCTGGGTTCGATCCCAGGCGCCGGCGAGAAACAATGGGCAGAGTTTCTTTCACCCTATGCCCCTGTTACCTAGCAGTAAAATAGGTACCTGGGAGTTAGTCAGCTGTCAGGGGCTGCTTCCTGGGGGTGGAGGCCTGGTCGAGGACCGGGCCGCGGGGACACTAAAAAGCCCCGAAATCATCTCAAGATAACCTCAAGATTCAAATAAGGACAAAAATATGGCCTCAGAAGTGAGGACAAGAATATGGCCTCAGAAGTAAGGGCAAGAATATGGCCTCAGAAGTAAGGGCAAGAATATGGCCTCAGAAGTAAGGGCAAGAATATGGCCTCAGAAGTAAGGGCAAGAATATGGCCTCAGAAGTAAGGGCAAGAATATGGCCTCAGAAGTAAGGGCAAGAATATGGCCCTCAGAAGTAAGGACAAGAATAAGGCCTCAGAAGTAAGGGCAAGAATATGGCCTCAGAAGTAAGGGCAAGAATATGGCCCTCAGAAGTAAGGGCAAGAATATGGCCCTCAGAAGTAAGGACAAGAATATGGCCTCAGAAGTAAGGGCAAGAATATGGCCTCAGAAGTAAGGGCAAGAATATGGCCCTCAGAAGTAAGGGCAAGAATATGGCCTCAGAAGTAAGGGTAGAAATATGGCCCTCAGAAGTAAGGGCAAGAATATGGCCTCAGAAGTAAGGGCAAGAATATGGCCCTCAGAAGTAAGGGCAAGAATATGGCCTCAGAAGTAAGGGCAAGAATATGGCCTCAGAAGTAAGGGCAAGAATATGGCCTCAGAAGTAAGGGCAAGAATATGGCCTCAGAAGTAAGGGCAAGAATATGGCCTCAGAAGTAAGGGCAAGAATATGGCCTCAGAAGTAAGGGCAAGAATATGGCCTCAGAAGTAAGGGCAGAAATATGGCCTTTGAGGCGAGGGACAAATAACTTGACCATAACAGCAGGAGGCCTGGTGGAGGGTGCAGGGGGGGGGAGGTGGGGGGATTGGGGGCTGAATGCCTGTTAAAGGTCTTTTCAGTGATGAAGCTCAGGAGATTAGATTGGATTTTGGGGGAATGGGGGGAGGTGGGGGGATTGGATAGAGCGTGGGGGAGATGGGGAGAAGAGGGTTAGTACTAGGGAAAGGGGGGAGGGGGGCAGGGTAGGGATAGAGAGGGGGGGAGGTGGAAAGGGTGTTAAAAGTAATTTGGGATCTAGCACGTCTTCCCCTTCTTGTTCCTAATCCTCATCTGCCTTCCTTTCCCCTCTCCCTCTCCCCTCTTTCTCTCCCTCCCTCTTACCTGCTTCCCCTCGGCTTCCCTCCAGGAGAAGCCCTCTGAGAGATGAGGGGAGATAAGAACCTCCAGGAGAAGCCCTCTGAGAGATAAGGGGAGATAAGAACATGTATTGAAAGAAAAGGATCACATCATTTCCAATTTATTTTTTCGGAAATTCCCTGTAGCGTTGAGAGATGCACTCAGCGATGCACTCACTGATGCACTCAGCGATGCACTCACTGATGCACTCAGCGATGCACTCACTGATGCACTCAGCGATGCACTCACTGATGCACTCAGCGATGCACTCACTGATGCACTCAGCGATGCACTCACTGATGCACTCAGCGATGCACTCACTGATGCACTCAGCGATGCACTCACTGATGCACTCAGCGATGCACTCACTGATGCACTCAGCGATGCTCTCACTGATGCACTCAGCGATGCACTCACTGATGCACTCAGCGATGCACTCACTGATGCACTCAGCTATGCTCTCACTGATGCACTCAGCGATGCACTCACTGATGCACTCAGTGATGCTCTCACTGATCCACTCAGTGATGCTCTCACTGATGCACTCACTGATCCACTCAGTGATGCACTCACTGATCCACTCAGTGATGCTCTCACTGATCCACTCAGTGATGCTCTCACTGATGCACTCAGCGATGCACTCAGCGATAGTTGTGTTGGCTGGATGTTCGTCATTAAACAGATCCATCTCCCGTTGCCGGAGACGGGAAGCTTCTATTTAAGCTTGAGTCCATTTATTAGAGGATAGCATGCGGCTAAATAGACTTCTATTTAGGCAATCTATTTTAGATTGATTCCAAGTCCCTGGATTGCGAGTCGTGGACGTAGACCACTGCGCCACAGGACCCAGCAAGTAAGCTAGTGTCGCCATGTTATCACGGTGGCAAGAAACGTCGCGGCTGTGTTAAGTTGGGTGAATACTGGTCAGGCAACAGGGTGGAACAAATGGAACAAATGTTCAGCCGTCCATGGAACAAATGACGCGGTAACATAGCACACGTAGGGTCGGTGGAGTGTTTCAAGCGTAGGAGAGACACATATATATGGATGAGTTTGGGTGGATACAAATGGGAGCTGCCTCTTGTACCAAGAGGCTTTATGCAGTTTAGTTACGTAGTACTGACCTAGTTGTACTCACCTAGTTGTGTTTGCGGGGGTTGAGCTCTGGCTCTTTGGTCCCACCTCTCAACTGTCAATCAACAGGTGTACAGATTCCTGAGCCTATTGGGCTCTATCATATCTACCCTTGAAACTGTGTATGGAGTCAGCCTCCACCACATCACTTCCTAATGCATTCCATTTGTCAACCACTCTGACACTAAAAAAGTTCTTTCTAATATCTCTGTGGCTCATTTGGGCACTCAGTTTCCACCTGTGTCCCCTAGTGCGTGTTCCCCTTGTGTTGTGATGGAGCGGCCAGGTGTGTGACAACACGCCGGCATACTGACACAGCAGAACACCTCCACAACCGTGACGCTATAAATTCCAGGTATAAAAACATAAGGTAAATGAAAACAAGGTTAATCGACATTATAATATGTGTCGTGTAGTACGGCGGGTTTACGTCCTTGACTCACATTCCAAGATCCCGGGTTCGATCTCCTGGTGGGACTAATGTGATTGGACACGTTTCCTTTCATCTGATGCCGCTGTTCACTTAGCAACTACAACAACAACAACAACAGCTAGGAACATTACGGGCTATTCATGCCCGTGCCACCTCTTGGGGTGGCATAATCTTCATCAAACAAGCAGCTAGGAGCAAGGGAGAGACCCCGGTCATATGTGGCATGCTCCTATCTTGAGGTTATCTTGAGATGATTTCGGGGCTTTTTCTAGTGTCCCCGCGGCCCGGTCCTCGACCAGGCCTCCACCCCCAGGAAGCAGCCCGTGACAGCTGACTAACTCCCAGGTACCTATTTTTTACTGCTAGGTAACAGGGGCATTTAGGATGAAAGAAACTTTGCCCATTTGTTTCTGCCTCGTGCGGGAATCGAACCCGCGCCACAGAATTACGAGTCCCGCGCGCTATCCACCAGGCTACGAGGTCCTAGAGGGGAGTTAGAAAATAAATGGTTGTCTATGAAAATTGGAGTCAATTGGCGAATTGACACATATCGCATACCATATGCAGTATCATTAATTGGTAACCAGGACCACTTGTATGGAAAAAATACCTGTATATGTATGCTCGGAATAGGGTTCA